CTAAAATAAACCCTCCCCTGAAAATAAGCCCTCCCTGAAAATATTGCAACACAGCAGTAGCCATGAGGTGACCACATTCACCACCTCCTGCACCTCAAAAATAATAACACTTCCCCAAAAATAAGGCCACGTGCTTATTTTGGGAGTCAAAGGAAAACAAGACTCTTATTTTCAGGGAAACACGGTAGATAAGCAGGGATTGGCACCAGACAAACAAGCAAGCAGGAAGCACTACCCTAATCAAAGAATCACCAAGGAGAAAAAACACCCCCCAAATTGGTGAATCTCCATTGCTGGTTAAGGAATTCTGGGAGCTGAAGTCCACGTATCTTAAAGCAACCGAAGTTGAGAAACATTGAGAACAGAGAATAAGTCACCGTTTTTTGGGGGACTGAATGCCCAGCAGCTGTTATAGGGATATATCTATTCACACAAGACACACCCTTGGCCCCAAAGTCCCATACTTCATGACTCATTGGGGCTACTGTTCTATGACACATCTGCAAATGAAAAGCCACTACTGTATCTCTCTCTCTCAAAAAAAGGAAGAAAATAAAAAATTCAGAACATTCCTCCGGTGCCAGCTGAATCATCCAGAGACTTGTTTTGCTGTGTTTTGGTTCAATGATGCCATCCCGGCTTACATGAAGCCAACCTCCTTAACGAACAGGGCTTGTTCATGGCCTCATTAAAAAGGTCCAGTTTCAATCTCGGAATCTCTGCCAATGCAGCTGGATGAAGACCACACAGGACACCGCTGCCCTCATCCCTAGCCCTCTTTTTTTCTGGTTTGATTAAAAAACACTCAAAGAAAGGAAGCCCCCTGGAATTCAGATATGTGTAGCCATTTTTCCTTTTCACAGTGCCCCAGGTTTTAAAATCCAATATATATATATATAAATATATAAAAATATATGGTTATATATATATAAGCCAAATCCCATTCATTCATCATGAAATCTCCAGAACTGTAAAGCCTACAAACTTGAAACTTGGCACGTGTGTTCCTCTTGGCTTCTAGATGCTCGCTAAGAAAGGATTTTTCGAAATGACCATCAGATCATTAGTAATTCTTATACAGTAATTAACACGCTCTAATGCTAAGGAGTTCTACTCCC